AGCTCAATAAAATGAAGGTCGAAATTCTGAAAAAATTTCGTGTTGTGTAAGAAAGCGTTCATCTTGAAGATCTTTATCAAGATCCGGACAATACTTAGTTGCTTCAAATATCCCCAATAACTTCGTTGACGTCAAACAGTTGCGTTCAGATCTTTAAAATACTGTTAATCGTAGTCGAATACAACCACAGAGAAAACTTGAAATCATATGATTATTATTTTAATAATAAATACAATTTTAAAATAAATTAGTTTGAAATTTATATATTAAGTATTTAAAATGATAATTATTATAATTTTATTAAATTTTAAATAAATAAAAATTCTTGTATTTTGATATTTTCTAATATTGTTCATATTTCATTATTTTACTGCATATATGTATATTTCGATACTTTAGCATAAATATCCGCGCTTTAGTTATTACTAACTTAGAGTCTCTCCACGCCAAATATTGCCTTCGATTAGATTCTACAGACGCAGTTTGTCTGTACGGTGTAAGTGAATATATTCTTAGTATAATAGTTTATTCTTCACTTTAGAGTTTTAGACACTTTAATTAAATTTTCAAAAATGTATAAATGTTTATGTATATGTTTATGTTCATGATATAGTATAATTGTATACGAAAACGATTCTGAGGAAGTGGTTTGTCGGTTTAGACTCTAGAAATTATTATAGGTACATATAATATTATGGTATATTGTTATTATTTAAAAAGTGAGTACCTCATTGTGTACATTAGGTGCCATATGAGTTACTATTATTATTATAGAATGTTAAATAAAAATCTTACCTATTTGTTCTTTTAATTTTAATCACTATAAGAATAACTTGAGAACTTTTGTATTACATTTTCAAGTATTTTGACTCACAAAAAATTATTTTGACTAGTTATTCTGTACACGCATTGCATACGCAAGGAGGTTAAGGGGTTGTAACTATCATCTCCATTAAAATATTATCTTTGAATAAACATAAATAAATAATTTTGATAAAATAATTATTGTCTCGTATACTCATTATATTTTATTATTTATGTTAACGTTTTAATGAGTACCTATATTGTTGTTATCAACGTATTATTGTTGTTATTATTAATGTTAATTGTCGCTCGACCGGTGTCTCCCAACTGCACTGTCGTTAGTCGGACTTGAGCACTGTGACGAGTCAAATATATACTTATCGTGTAAAATAAAAGAAAATTTACAGTCCACTAAGATTAAAGGCGTTGAATATATTAACCAGCTAACATTTGGTCCATCGGCCGGATCGCAAGAGTGTCGTGTATTATCTCTTGTTGATTTCAATCGGGTTAACGCGTCAGTGAAATTCAAAAAGAAGTTCGTATTGAAAGTTCACATCGTGGGATGAACTAACGAAGAAAAAATCAAGGTAAGAGAGTCATTCCTATTGTATAAAAAATTATCATAGGTCCCTTATCCCTTAAACTACAAATAGACACGTATTCAAGGGTTAGGTAGAGTTAGCAATTCGTAGTTAGTAAAATTAGTCATTTAAAATAATCAAAACTAACAGAGTCCGTCCATAGCAGATAGGTACAAAGTACAACTTGTAGCAACAGTCATATAGATTACATAATTATTGGATATTCCATTATGCAATAGTTTAAATAGGGCGACACATTGAATGGTTGGCAACTACATCTATATACAAGAGCATTAAATATGGTTGAAAACATACCAGCATTGATAGCGCGAAGAGGCCAATTAAGGGCAGCGATAACTAGATTCTCAACTTATATACAATCAGAAGGACGAGAAGTCGTACAGATCGAGATTCGTAAAGCAAAAATAGAAGAGAACTGGTACGAATTTGAAAAGGTACAATCGGCAATAGAAGACAACGATGAAGAAAGCCGAAATACAAGTGAACATTATCCCTACCGAATAGAATTTGAAAACTTGTACTTCAAGATCATGTCAGAAGCCGAGATATGTATAAGAGCGTCAAAACAGGAAAGTTCAAAGGTCGAAACAAAAAATTTAATCGATTGGGGTCATAGCAGCGAAGAAAAAACACAAAAAACCAGTACTAAATCAATAGTCAGATTGGCTCCATTGAATATTCCCGTTTTTTCAGGAAAATATGACGAATGGATGTCATTTAAAGATATTTATACGTCGGTAATACATACTAACGAGGACTTGACAGCCATAGAAAAATTTTTCTATTTAAGGTCATCTCTGTCTAATGACGCAGCAAGTTGTATAAAATATTTGGAAACTACCGCAACAAATTATGATACGGCTTGGAAAAGTCTGATCAATCGATACGACAACAAAAAAATTTTGATACAGACGCACGTAAAAAATATTGTAGATTTGCCTTCAATAAACGAGAGCAACTCGACAAAATTACGTCAATTTTCTGACGATCTCGTCAGCAATATGAAAGCTCTAGAAACGCTTGGACAGAAGCCGCAAGAGTGGGGCCCGCTGTTGTTGCATATACTGTGTTCAAAATTAAACAACGGGACGTTGAAAGAGTGGGAGATTAAATCGGTCAAGGACAAAATACCGTCTGTTACGGAATTAATCCAGTTCATAGAGGAGCGGTTCCAAATATCCGAATCCATTGAATCATCTAAATATATAAATACAGAGTCTGCAGCAAAGGAAAAAGGTCCTACAAGGTTTAGTAAAAATAATAAATACAAATCCGCAACAAGTTCAACGGCATTTACATCGACAGCTACGGCGGTATGTTATGCGTGTAATCAGCCGCACACTATTTACAAATGTCCAGTATTTACTGCTTTATCGACACGTGATCGTATTGACAAGGTAGTCCAACTAGAGCTTTGCAAAATTTGTTTACGCAAACACAGCGGTAGTAAATGTTTTGGTAAATATTGTTTTAAATGTAATAAACCACATAATACGATGTTACATTTAAACCAAAAACATAATATCAACGAACCAGTTTCAAACACAGATAAAGGTGAACAGACGGCGACGACGTCAACGACAACACATGTCGCTAATGAGACCGATAACGTGTTGCTAGGTACCGCGGTAGTAGAAGTATTCGGCCTAAACGGCGAAAGAACTTACGCCCGGGCATTGCTCGACTCGGGGTCGACAAATCACTTTATTTGTTCGGAGTTGGTAAACATTTTAAGATTAAATAAACATAAGACCAATCATATTGTTTACGGCATCGGGAATTCAAAACAGAACGTGACTGCCACGGTATCGTTAAGAATCAAATCGCGTGTGAGTGATTATGAAATAAACACGCAATTATTAATTGTTCCAAAAATCACGGGAGATTTACCCGCGCGAAGAGTGTCCAAAGGTAAAGTTAAACTCGAAAGGATTACACTGGCGGATCCGTCATATAACGTTCCGAAAAAAATTGACATATTAATTGGAGCACGTCATTTTTATGACATTGTGGGTGCGCAGCAGTATAAACCGGATTCAAATGGCCCTGTATATCGAGAGTCTAAATTTGGATATATTATTTCTGGTTTAACATCAAACGACACAAACATAAAAAACACGATTTCCTGTTATTCATCAAACAGTCACGAAAATATTCATGAAAACAAATATGAGTCTTTAGAAAATGTAATACAACAGTTTTGGCGCATCGAGGAGTACGGCCAAAGCAAACCTTACACGAGGGAAGAACAAACTTGTGAACAACATTTCAAGCAAAATGTTAGTCGTAGCGAGAGCGGTCGATTTGTGGTACATCTGCCGTTCCGCGGAAACGTCTCAAAATTAGGCAAGTCCTACGACATCGCAAAAAGAAGATTATTCGCAATAGAAAGGCGATTTATAAAAAATCCCTCGCTGAAAGGGGATTACGTAAAGTTTATGACCGAATATGAAAAATTAAACCATATGACACAGAATATGGACAACGAAGAAATCGAAGTGCCCGGTCGTATGTGCTATCTAGCTCACCATTGCGTACAAAATGAAAACAGTCTCACAACAAAATTACGCGTAGTATTTGATGCCTCCACAAAAACAGAAAGTGGGGTTAGTTTAAACGACGTACTGCAAAAGGGACCGTCAATACAAGAGGAATTAATTCACATATTAGCAAGATTTCGCACTCACAATTTTGTGGTAACTGCCGATATAAAAAAAATGTACCGACAGATACAGGTCTGTGAGAAACATCGTGATTATCAACGTATATTGTGGAGAGAGAACGTTAATGACCCTATAAAGATATATCGATTAAACACTGTCACCTATGGGACAGTACCTGCTTCGTATCTCGCGACAGCTTGTTTACAAAGATTATCTGAAATCGGACAAGGTCAATATCCAACAGTTGCACCATTAATTGCACGGGATTTTTATATGGACGATTTTATCAGCGGTGCCGCTACAAAGAAAGACGCAATCGAGATACGCAATGCACTTATCAAATTAATGTCTACAGCTAAATTAGAGCTAGGTAAATGGGCGTCTAACGATCCTGATATAATTCGAGATAGTTTCGGCAACAATGACGGCTTAGTGGATTTTCAAGAGACAAGTAACGAGTTAACTAGAATACTTGGTCTATATTGGGACTCTCACACCGACGAACTTAAATATAAAATTAACGAAACTTCGGTAGTAACGCCTCTTACTAAACGCAATATATTGTCCGATATTGCCCGTATATACGACCCACTCGGCTTAATTGGTCCGGTAATAGTATGTGCAAAATTAATCATGCAAGAGTTATGGACAGAGGGTTTATCGTGGTCAGAACCGGTTTCAGAAAAGATAAGCAGTGAGTGGTACAAATACAAATCCGAATTATCGCATCTAAATGCAATTAAAATTCCGCGTCAAATTACGATAAACGATAAAATACACTCTATACAAATACACGGTTTCGCGGATGCAAGTATTAAGGCATATGGATGTTGTTTGTATTTACGTTGTACGGACATGAATAACAAACATACGGTACGATTAATTGGCGCAAAGTCAAAGGTAGCACCACTAAAAATATTATCGCTACCACGATTAGAATTGTGTGCCGCTCTATTGCTAGCAAAGGTAGCAAATAAGATCGTACCAAGGTTGAGATTGTCAATCAGTAGAACATATTATTGGACCGATTCCAGCGTTACGTGGTGTTGGATCACGTCAACGTCGAAAAAATGGAAAACCTTCGTCGCACACAGAGTTGGTCAAATTCAAGAGATCACGTCTCCCTTAAACTGGTTTCACATTAGCGGTGTCGATAATCCGGCGGACGTGATCTCACGCGGTTGTTGTCCCACCCAATTAGCGAGTTTATCAGTCTGGTGGAACGGGCCGAGTTGGTTGTCACGACACGAAAACGATTGGCCTGATACGATGAACCGCTCATTAGATTGTAACGAGGAGAGTGCAGAAACAAAAACAAACGCGATAAGCGCTCTATGCACTACGGCAAGTGATATAAATATCATAAATCGTTATTCGTCTTTTGGTAAATTGTTAAGAGTCGTGGCATATTGTTTACGATTTAAAATTAATTGCTTACGTAAAATAAACAAAACAGGCGATCGGTGCCGACGAATCGGTAATTTAAGTGCTGACGAAATAAAACTAGCAAAAACGTCATTAATTAAAGTTGTTCAAAGGGATGAGTTTGCAAATGAGATAAAATCTATGCTTAACGGAGAAGCAGTATCCAGTAAGAGTAAGTTATTTCGTCTGCGACCGTTCTTAGATAAAAATAATATAATATGCGTGGGTGGACGCTTAAAACATGCAGCATCAATTTCGATTTTCCAGCGTAACCCTATAGTGTTACCATCAAATAGTAATTTCACGAAATTGTTGCTATGTAACGAGCATGTAACACTAATGCACGGAGGTCCACAAGCTATATTATCGTCGTTACGCATGTGCTACTGGCCAATTAACGGCCGAAATTTAGCACGAAATATAGTAAACAAATGCGTGGTTTGTTTCAAACAGAAACCTATTATAATGCAACCGATAATGGGTGATCTACCTAAACATCGAGTATCTCCAGGCCGCGCGTTTCTAAGATGTGGCGTAGACTTCGCCGGGCCGTTTATGGTTAAAACTAGTATCCGAAGAAATGCCCCGAAAGTGAAGTCTTATGTAAGCGTTTTTATTTGTTTAGCTACGCGAGCTATACATCTCGAGCTCGTCAGTGACCTGAGCACCGACGCCTTTATCCGTGCATTAAATAGATTTTTTGACCGTCGTGGAAAAAGCATTGTAATCTACTCAGATAATGCAACGAATTTCGTCGGGGCAAACCGGAAATTAAAGGAATGGTACCAATTATTTCATAGTGACGAAAATAAAAAAAGGACTATGGATACGTTATCAGATTTAGGCATTGATTGGAAATTCATACCCGCCCGTTCACCTCACTTCGGGGGTCTATGGGAAGCAGGTGTAAAATCTATGAAATCCTTATTATCTAAAGTCTTGGGTGAGTCGTACTTTACTTACGAAGAGTTGCTAACTATTATAACCCGAGCAGAGGCGTGTCTAAATAGTCGTCCTTTAACCCTTATGTCCTCCGATCCTAGTGATATGTCACATTTAACTCCCGGGCATTTTCTCATCGGTGACTCTCTCTCCGCCATACCAGAAGTGGATGAAACGAACGTACCAACAAGTTATCTATCTCGTTGGCGACGCGTGTCACAATATTCGGATATTCTATGGAGACGGTGGAGTAAAGAGTACCTGTCTCAGCTTCAGGAACGGTCAAAGTGGGCAAGCGGAAGGGGTGTAAAGTTGAAGGAAGATTCCATCGTTATCATGCGCGAGGAGAACCTTCCACCAATGAAATGGCGGTTAGGTCGGATTATCAATGTCCTACCAGGGCAGGACGGTGTCATACGCGTTGCTGATGTGAAAACGGCGAATGGAACATTTCGTCGAGCCGTCAGGCAATTATGTCCATTACCATTTGTGGGTAATTGTAATTTGTAAAAAATATTTACCTTTGTTTAGTTAATTTGTATAATATGTCTATGAAGGGTAATTAAGATTAGTTTATATGTTAATTATATAATTTGAATTATTATTTGAAATGTTATTTCAAGGCGGGCGGCTTGTCTCGTATACTCATTATATTTTATTATTTATGTAACGTTTTAATGAGTACCCATTGTTGTTATCA